CAAAATAGTTATTATCGGCACATAATTTTTGAATGGATAATAAATTATATATCAGATTAGGAACATGATAAACAGATTTTAAATGGAGAGGCTTAGGCAAAGAAGATAATTGCATATTACCAACGGTCACAACCTGCAAGCTAGAACCATTTGCAACCGTAACAGATTGTGGCCCAGAATAAACAGATTTATTGTCTAAAATACCTTCATTAGAAGTCATATGAGCGGAGGCGCCAGAGTTAGGGTACCAAACTTGCGGAGTGGATTCACCAGTAGGAACAGCTAATGCCGGAGCCTGAGCCTGAACAAAACAAGAGGGACACGAAACAACGGAATGACCTGGAGAATGACAGATTTGACACACGATAGATCGGAGGAACAGAACCAAAACTATTCTCAAAAGATGATGTTTCTACAGAGCCATAGTTAGTACAAACAGTAGATAAGGCATAAGTATAAGATGATGACTGAACCGGATTACAAAATATTGTACCTGAGGGATCTCCTTGGTATTGTGGACGAGGACCCCGGCCGTAGACGCCATACTGGGACTGTTGCGGAGTAAGCTGACCGGGACTGAAGTAGGGAGGAGGCTGGTCGTACCCCTGCGGCTGCTGCTGGTACCTGCCGCGACCACCTCCTCAACGTCCACCACGGCTACCTCGATGGGACTGTGGCTGTTGCTGTCCAGCTGAGGAAGAGGAGGCTGATCCACCCCCTGGCTAAGATGCTACTGCAAACGTCGGAGTAGTAGCTGGGGTCTCTAAGGATTGCTGGTAGCGTAAACGTGCTTCTTAATGAACCAATTTCGTGCCCAATTTTTCAAAAGTAAGCCCTTCAGGGAACAAGGTAAGAGGACTTACTAGTGACTCATACCCGGTCCCAATCCTAATAGCATGTATTGAATAAGATCAGCATTGGCGACTGGTGAATTTATGGCGGCTAAGTTGTCAGCAAGGATCTGAATGCCACGTGTATTCCTCCATGGACTGATTCTCCTTCTTCTTGGTGTGAGTCAACATCTGCTTCAATTCCATAGAACGTGCTAAACTGGCTGCCATAAAACGAGATTCCAACCTTTGCCAAATTGCTGAAGAATTTTTCAAGGTATGAACCTCCATCACAACTTCATGAGACAATGTAGCAAATAGCCAGACACAAACAGTTTGGTCCAATTTCAACCAATGATAATATTCAGGATTAATGGATGGAGCCTGATATAAATCATAGGTGTACAGAGACGGCGTTGGCATGGAGCCATCAAGAATTCCTAACAGACTATTAGCCACCAAAAAGGACTCAAACTGTGTACACCAGGGTAAATACTCTTCAACTTTGAGTAACTTGGAGATCACAATCTGTGTAATTGAGACCCCGAATGTCATTCCTTGTGCCAACATAGCAAACGAGACCGGCAGAGAATTGACAATGGAACGCTGGCCAATCGTTCCAGAAGAAGGCGGCAGGAAGAGACCTGGATCACCGGACATCGTTGGTCCTGCATAACGGAACCGAGCAGCAGTGGCGGTGCTCGACTCGGCATGAGAGTCGGCCACAAATGGAGGCAGCAGATTGAGCATCGGTGGCATCGGGGTCCAGGAAAACAATAGCAGCACCCAGGCGGAGCTCAGCGGCGACGACGGCACATCGTTGGTGAAGGCAGACTACAGCGGCGGCTCGGTGGGGCACGTCTGTGCCGCACTCAAACCCGACTGGTCTACCTCCATCGTCAACATTTCGGCGGTGGTGACTGCATCATCGGTGGCAGCGGCGGCCGTGGATTGAGAGGCCATGGCAACGAAAAAAAATATTAAACTGGCTAAAACCCTAGAGCTCTTGATAACATGTGAGAATAATGGAATGACTTGCCCAATAGGTAGCCCTGGATGTCATATATATAATAGAATAAAAGTCCAAAATACAATAGGAAACTAACAAAATATGGAAACCTTATTTTAGTTTATTAATATATTATTAGTTGATACGCCGATACGCGAATACGGGTACAACGATACGAAAACTTCAAAAATTATAGAATACGGGTACGGGGGGGTATATTTTTAAATAATAATAATATAGAGTATAATTTGCAAATATATATAATTCAGAGGTTCATAAATAAAATAATAATAGTACCAAAAACTAACAATTATAATAAAATTTCAAAATTTAGACTAAAAAACAAAGGTACTGATATGTCGATTTAAATTTAAATAATATTTTTAGTTCTCTATTTGCATATACATTTAAGTCTTTTAATAAGATTGATTTCAATTAAAGCTCATCAAGCGATAAATTGGAAAATTATAGCATTCCGATATTTTCCATACTCCCGAAATCATCTTTAGTAATATTCCACATCTTAATATGGTCGTTTGGCGGATACTAAATTTTCGTCATGTCGTGTATGAAATTAGGGTTACTAGGTAAAATACGTGTATCGGTTCACGGATACAGGTATTAGAAGTATCCATATTTTTAAAAATAAATTCAATACTTTTATTAAATTACGGATACAGACCCAATACGTACATGACGCGTATCGATTAGTATCAATATCGGATACGCGAATACGACATCCACGTGAGGTATGCGTGCATCATTACATGAGACTAAGCAATGAATCATCTAAGAATAAGTAGGACGCTGAACTAAAAATTATTACATTATTCCACGTAATGACTTGATTGAATATTTGAATTGCCAACTAATTATATAATGCAACCACTACTGTTGAAGAAGATTTTTTTTGAATACATGGGAAGAAGAATATAATAATCGAAATAATAATAATATAGAATAAAAGTGGTGTTCTCAAGCGTGGGGCTATTCAACTTTTAAATAATTTTCAGCCACCTATTAGATTCGGATCACTTGGTACATCAGGATTCCTTTATTATATGCCGAGTATATACTTTAAAATCTGTTTACCAAGTTCCATTCACACAAGAAATGTTGATTAGAGTTTGTGTGGAAGAAAAACAATGATGCAAATTTCTTTTCGCTTTGTCATACTAAAATTGCACATAGCAAAATTGCACATAGCAATGTAGCATATCGAAATTGACAAAAAATGTGTGTAACTAAATCATTTTCTTACTTAAATTTGACTTCATCACTTCAATATTAATTATCAACTCCATAAATCTATTTTTCTTAATAATTACACCACCTCCTCGTATACCATTCTCTCACTAATATTGGTAGAAGAGGAGGTGGTACAATTATTAAGAAATTTATGATATTGATATTGAAGTGATGATGTCAAGATTAAGTAAAGTGTAAAGTGGTAATATTAAGCCCCATACATTGGGCTTAATATGCAAAAATAAATCCCAATGTGTAAAGTGGTAACAAAATGTAAATAGACTCATGTTTATTTAACTAGACATTACCGGATCAGCTTTAAACAAACCAGACCGGCCTAAAAAAATTCATTCTAATAAAAAACATCCCAAAACTCTTAGAATTCTAAGTGCCCGTTTGGTAATACCAAAATTGGATGAATCGACTCATTCTGTTGAAATTTATGAAATTCTTATTGAAGTGGATGAGTTGGCCGATTCTGCTGATTTTTGGGAAAAAATATCTGAATATATTTTATTATTAAAATAAAGGAAAATGTTCATGTAAAACTAGATAAAATGGTCCTCTACAGTAACTTCAGACAATATAGGCAGAAAAGTAACTCCAACCTTAGTTTTTTGCTATTATTACACAATTCAACGTGCGAAATTGAAAATTAAGAGTTTGGTGAAAAAGTTGGCTTATAAGCCGAAAACCGGGCTTACCAAACAGGCTCTAAGAGTCTGTTTGGTAACACTGAAATTGGCTGTATCGGCTGATTCTGCTGAAATTTATGAAGTTTTAGCTGAAATGGCTGGATTGGCTGATTCTGCTAATTTAAGAAATAATTATATTTAAAATATGTTTTATTAATAAAATAAAGATAAAATTATATGAAAAAAAGTTAAAATGACTCTCTATAATAACTTCAGCCAATACAGCCATAAAAGTAATTTCAATCTTACTTTTTCTTATTACTCCCTCCGTCCCAGAATTTACTTCCATAGTACAAATGGCACACGGATTAAGAAAGTGAGAATTGTGTGGTGGAGAGTTGTGTAGAGGAGAGAGAAATGTGTATAAGAGGCCGTTTGGCAACCCTCATTTTCGGCTTATCAGGCTTATCAGCTAACTTTTTTACCAAACACGTAAACTTTGCTTTCGCGCGCTGAATTGTGTAATAAGCCGAAAAAGTAAGGTTGGAATTACTTTTCTGGCTGTATTGGCTGAAGTTACTGTAGATGATCATTTTAGCTATTTTTACATATAATTTTTTCTTTATTTTATTAATAAAATATATTTTAAAAATATTTTTTTCTTGTATCAGCAGAATCAGCCAATGCAGCCACTTCAACCAGAACTTCATAAATTTCAGCAGAATCAGCCAAAACAGCCCATTTTTGAGCTACCAAACGGGCTCTAAATGTGTAAGAATTGTTGTGAACCACAAATTATTTGCCAAAAAGGGAAAGGGAAGTTCTTTTTGGGACAAACGAAAAGGGAAAGTTGGAAATAAATTATGGGACGGATGGAGTATTACACAATCTAGTGTACGAAATCAAAATTTACGTGTTTGATAAAAAATTGGTTGATGAGTATGATGAGTCAAAAAACAGGATTACCAAATAAGCTCCAAGTCAAAATGGACCAGTTTGCCAACTGTTTCTCCTGCAAACTTAGAAAGTTTCTATTTATATACTCCCTCCCGCCTCTTAAAATTTTGCCATTTTTCCTTTTTGGGACGTCCCAAAAAACTTTGTCACTTTCCCTTTTAATAAATTATTTTGTGGTTTCTGTTATTTTTCTCTCCTTTGCACAAATCTCAACCACATAATTTTTACTTTATTATTCTCTGTGCGGTGTGCGGGTGCCTTCGTCAAAGTTTTAAGGGACATGAGGTAGTATTAAGCCTCTTTCCTAAAGTGGGGTGATAACTTTTTGGGACGCCATCAAAATGTTGGCACTGACGGAGTATATATTCGTGGGTGCATAAATATAAGACAGTAGATCTTATAATTGCGCCAATTCCATTCAGTTCAGGTTTAAGGTAGAACCAATGGTGGCGTCTGAAGACAAGATTCTCAAACTCTTTGATTCTTGCTGGTTTGAACGCCAGATTCTGTCCACTAAAAACTGCTCATTCCATGTTGATGAAAGTGATGAAGCCAGGCCAGTTAATCATAATCATGAGCCGAAGGCGATGATAGTAAGTGTTTTAGCTCTTAAAGTCCGATCACATAGCGATAATCTGCTAGGATTTAAGACAAATTTTAGCCCACGGTCTGATTCTATGGAGTCGGTGATTGACAAACCAGAGCTGGAAGGTCACATGGTTTTCAAGAAAAGAGCTCGTCGTAGTGGGCTGCAGAGGAAAAGAGCGGCTGGGAATAAGCTGGTTGGAGCTAAGAGCTTATCAGAGCTTGAGCTTGAGGAGCTAAAAGGGTTTATGGATTTGGGATTTGTTTTCACTGATGAAGACAAGAAATCTAGTTTGGCTACCATAGTTCCTGGATTGCAGAGATGGGGGAGCAGAGGAAGCAGAACAGCTGGTGAAGATGATGGAGAGGGAGGAGGAGGGGAAGAGGCTATTGAGGATAAGGAAATTAGAAGGCCTTATCTTTCTGAGGCATGGAGCATTATGGATCAAAGGAAGATCATAAAGAAGCTTCTGAAATGGAGATTTCCAGCACATCCCTGCAACAATAATGAATCCAGCATGAAAGACAATCTCAAATTCTGGGCTCAAACTGTTGCATCAGCACTTAGATAAAATCAACATTTTTTTTTTCTTTTTCTTATAGTTACTCCCATACTTGGCTCTTTGTTTAGTCAAAACAACACTTTTAGTTTTACACTTTGGAAAGCAATCTTACTTGAAGTGCTCCTATATTTTACAAATGTAAAAAAATGGCATTATGTAATATATTCTCAAGCAGGGGCGAATCGTAGTACAGACTACAGACTCAGGGGGCTACCGCCCCCAACAAGAATTTATTTTAGTGTATATATATATATATATGAAAAATAATTTTCTCCCTTACAAAAAATATTTTGAATCCTCCAAAAAGTATTTTCGCCCCCAAAATGACTTTCCTGAGTCCGCCCCTGTTCTCAAGCTGACCCACATGACCACATGTCAATTATGAGAATAGCAATTTTTATGTTTTCAAGCTTAGTAATAAATACAGAGTAGTTTCAATTTATATAATAATTTTTATTTCTTATTTAGCGTTTGAGATTTAACAATACTTTTAAAATAATTTCTACAAACGCAGCATACAAAATTTAATTATTATATAAATTTAAATAGTTTCACGAAAGAGGTATATTATATACTCCGTACTTGTTAATTATATATTCACAAGTAGTCAACTTGAGATCAGAACCTTCCTTTGGGACACAGGGAGTATATTAGTAGGTTTGGCACACGGTTTAAGATAGTGGATATTGTGTAGTGGAGAGTTGTGCAGAGGAGAGAGAAATGTGTAAGAAATGTTGTGAACCACAATTTCTTTACTAAAAAGAGAAAGTGGAAATTTTAATTGGAACGGACGAAAAAAGAAAGTTGGAAGATATAATAGGAACGGAGGGAGTAATTCATAAGAATAATCTATATTTTAAAAGATTCTATAATAGTACTACCTTTGTTCCCATTTTAACTTCCAAATGGATTTGCCACAAAGTTTAAGATAGTGGATATTGTGTGGTGAAGAGTTGTGCAGAGGAGAGAGAAATGTGTAAGAATTGTTGTGAACCACAAATTCTTTACCAAAAAAGGAAAATGGAAGTTTTAATTGGAACGGACGAAAAAGGAAAGTTAGAAGTTTATTTAGGAACGGAGGGAGTAGTTCATACTAAAAGTGTTCATAAAAATAATCCAAAACAAGCAATGATGTCTACAAAAATAAATTGGGGCAACACTTCTATCTTCTAAACTTGAGAAAATCACATATGATGAAATTGGCGTTGAGATTAAATGGGCGTTACTTTGAATTCACCCCGAGATGAAGGGCGGGGAAGAGGAAAGTGAGAGTAGAGATTGAGAGCAGTAAACGGTCATTAATTTGAATTATCTCAAATTTATTCTCGTTAACACCTTTGACACTTCGGATTATTTTAATTAACACTCTCGGTAGAGATTATTATTCTAGAATCACTCAAAATAGAGACTATTGTTATGAGTTTCGCCTTACGAGTTATATTCGTGCATTAATAAACATCAAAATTAAAGTGTTGCTTAGAAACAGTACAAAATGAAGCATATATACATCTTGCAAGCTTTTTGTTTCTGCAAGTGTGAATGTGGACTAGCATGATTGAACCACATTAAATTAGATTATGTTGATAAGTTTGACGCACATTAAATTATAAAATGATAGTACTTGTAACACCGTATAAAATAACGCCCGTACGTAAAGATACGTACTTTCTCCGTCCCAAAAATGTTGGTCAAAGTTGACTTTTACGTGTATTAATAAAGTAATAACTGTGTGGTTGAAATTTGTGCAGAGGAGAGACAATTAATTTTAGCCACATATTCCTTACTTTAAATGCAAATTGCAAATCTTTTTGGGACATCCAAAAAAGGAAATTCGCAGTACTACGTATAAAATTACATTTTAGAATCAGGGTTCACTCTCAATAAATTCATAAAAATGCACCATAAATGTAAAAATATATAGAATCATCCAAGAATGTTTATGTACATCATATGCACAAGAGAAAAACCATAGGCACTCCCAAGTAAGGGTACCCTGTCACCTCAAAAAGACCTACCTAGCCATATACATATGCTAGTCATCACAAAAAATAGGTGACGTTACAGCAAAAACCAGAAACATCAGAAAATGATCATATGGTACGGGTACATAGAATATAGAACTTTGTACACCATATACTTGATATGTGTAGGTCATGGTTTAATACACCATCCTTGAAAGCATGACAGGATATATGTACGGTCGAGGTTGGGGGCCTCTCAGGGATGGGGTGTCATCCTTTTTTTTGGAGGATATATGTATGGGTCATGGTTGCCGAAGCCCTAAGTAATTAATTTTTTTCAATTTGTTTAGTGTAATTTTTTTAATTTTTTCATATTTAGTCACTTCGCTAATGTTTAAATTTAATATATAGTTACTTTTCGGCCTATGAATACCCTTAAATTAGAAGAGTAATTTGGTAATATATTTAGCCACATGAATACCCTTGCACAAACAAGGTCCGCCACTATTTGGTAGAAGAGTTAAATTAAAGGATAATCATAAATTAGTTGATAGCATGTGGATGCACGACTAATACTTACGATTAGTGCTACACATGTCGGTGTCGGTTCGATTTTTATCGATTGTTGGTTCTGTTCAGTTTGAGACGGGTTGGAAGAATTATTACTAAATAAAAATCATATTATGTTCAATTCGGTTAGATTTGGATTTGATTTTTTATAAATATCTTAAGGTTTTATTCAACTTTTACCGGTTTTGGTTCAATCTGATTTTTAAGATTTCGAAGGAATACCACCGAACACAAACTGTATATGGTTTGGTCTCGATCCGGTTTAGTATGATTTGTTCCGGTTAAACCGAACCAATATATCAACTCCTAGAATGAATTTGAGTCTATCGACAAATTAAACTAGGTCCACCAAGCTTTGTGATATATTCGTATTATACTCATCCAGTCATCCTAAGATGTCTACTGATCTTGAATGTGTTGGCAATTCGATAATAATAATCCCACAAAGAACAAATAATGAAAGGGTCAATTCAGAAGCTGAGCAATTCCCAACTCACAAACGACCCCTCTTGATGGTCTCCCGGTTTTGTCTGGCTCGACGCTTACCAAACGTGAATTAATGTGATGGGACTAGCCGTGGGGAATATAGAGGTCCAATAAAGGGCTAGCTAGTTGAGTAAAACCACGAGCTGTTCCGGGTTTTGGGTGGGTTCGGACCGTACAAATTTTATGAAAACATTTTGTATACGTTCACCTCTTTTGTAACTTTATTGAATTACAAGTCGTTATTCATCAATTCTCTAAGACAAGTGGTTGGGTGTTGGGCGCAAATTATACGTGGGATCGACCCACGTTCCCACTTTAGGTAAGTTCCTTTTTCTTTTCTTTCTTCTTTGAGCAACGTAAATCCCTTTTCCATTGCTTTTCTCTTTATTTTTCTTTTGTTCATCAATTTTTTTCTTTTTTCATCAAATTAAAATACTAAAAATTTAATGGCAATCATACTTTTCTTTATCTTCATCTTAAATTATAATTGAATCTATTTTTTTATTCTTTAACAATGCATAACAAAAAGTTTATTAATCTAAATAAAATAAGTATATTGCAATTAATATTCATACACTATTTTTGTTTTTGTATTAATTTTTATATTCATATACTTTTTATGTAATATACTTTTTATATTCATACACTTTTTTGTTATATTTTTTATATGGAGAAACTTTTTCTATAATATAACTTTTTAATCACTTTTATATATTTTTAGAGGTTTTTAAGATATTGAGTTTGTTTATTTTGATTTTGGAAGTTACATTTGATATTATATCATGAAGTTATATCTTCTTTCACGCGAGTTACATCTTATTGTACGTAAGTTACATCTTAATATACGCGAGTTACATCTTAGTGTATGTGAGTTACACCACGGAATAAACCCATGTTATATCATTTTTATAGCCCTAATATTAAACATAAAACATATTCACTATTTAAAAAAAGTAATTAAGCTATTAGGATCAATTTTTCATTGTTTTCATTTAAATCAATGTTTATGACATATATATTATTCTTAAACACACACACACAAAAAAATGTGCAATTTTTCAACAAGTTACATTCTGTATACATCTAAGTTATATTTGTCATCACCACGAGTTACATTTGTAATAACATGAGTTACATTAAAAAATCAACCCCTGTTATTGAAACAAAAAAAAATTAAAAAAATTATTTTTTATGGTCATGATATTAAAAACAAAACATATTCACAATTTACGTAAAACAATTGTGAAATTAGACTCTTGTTTTTCATTGTTTACATTGAAATCAATATTGTATTTCTAATACTATGTATTTGACAAGTTACATTTCGAATGCACTTGAGTTACATTAATCAATAACGTAAGTTACATATCTTTACTCGCGAGTTACACCATTCATGCTACTAAGACAAAAAGAAAGAAAAAACAGTTAGTGTACACGCGTGCATTGTTCACGCGTGTACTGTTCATGCGATTTTTTTTTAAAAAAATTGGGTAAAGCTACGTCGTTTTGAAAGTGGAGCATCATGCTCACCGTGGGATGATCCCACGGTATACGAACGGGCAGTAGAGACAATGACGTGTTAATTGTTAACGAGTTTGTTGATCATAATACTCCGACTACTCTCATCCTATTTAACCATCTATTGATGCCACTCAATATTTTAAATACAATTATTTTTTCTCAGAGTAGGGTGATTATTTAGAAAGCACTTGAACTACGTACATGACATTAGTTGATTCTTATTGTATGTCTCTCTGGCAACACATTAATTCATTGTCTTAATTAAATTACTCACTTATTGATTACATCATACCGTTTCAGCATACAACTACCAAATCAGCCTCCTCAGGTAAAGACAATAAGGATTATATATTATAATAAATTTATGGAAGCTAGAGTCCAATAATGTAAGACACACTAATTCACTATGCCGTTTTTAACAATATGCGGGTGGATAATATATATATATATATATATATATATATATATATATATATATATATATATATATATATATATATATATATATATATATACTCCCTCCGTTCCTATTATATCTTCCAACTTTCCTTTTTCATCCGTTCCAATTAAACTTCCACTTTCTCTTTTTGGTAAAGAATTTGTGGTTCACAACATTTCTTACACATTTCTCTTTCCTCTGCACAACTCTC